GAGTCTCCTCCCGAGGCAATACCTCCAATGATGATATTGATGGTTCCAGCAGTGGGTTGACCATCCCTCTTTGCCTCAGGGTCTTTTTCCCTGCCACGATCATTCCTCGGGCGTTTGTCGTTACCGACGTAGGAGCTCAGGAGTCCTCTTTTAATAAGGGCTTCAATCTCCCGTTGCAGGGCCTTACAGTTCTCCGTGGTATGCCCGTGATCCCGATGGAACTCACAGTACTTGTTCATGTCCCTGGATTCGGGTGGTGACCTCATTCTGACAGGCCATTTCAGTTCCTTCATATCCTTGATCTCCATCAATATATTGGTCTTTGACGTATTTAAACGCGTGAACGGCGTCGGGGGAACCTCCTGTCTCTGTTTTTTCCGATGCTGTTCTTCACGAGGGTTCGGGTCATGCTGTCTTTTATGCTCGACCCTGTCATGGGATGGTCCAACCTTTCTCGGGTTCAGTGTTTCCTCCATATTTATGTACTTCTCGGCTCGGGTAAGAAGCTCGGTCACTGTCTTTGACGGAGTTTTGGATAAAGACATCTTGAAGGCCTCACACTTTATGGCATATGTGAGGGCAGAAACCGCTGCAGTTATGTGTAGGTCGGGAATCTGAAGTCTTTCCTTGTTGAACCTGGTCATGAAGTCACGTAAGGTCTCATTTTGCCCCTGTCTAAGGTGCATGAGGGAAGCCGCTGTCTTCCTGATGCGTTTGCTGCTTGCGAAGAAAGCGGAGAACTTGTCCGCCAAATCCGAGAATGAGGTTGTGGAGTTGGACTCTAAGGTTGAGAACCAATCCCTAGCGGCATTCGTCAAGGTTTGCGGGAAGGCCTTGCACATCACCTGATCTGGTGCGACCTGTAAATTCATGACGTCCGTGTATATGTTCAGATGATTGATTGGATCGGTGGTCCCATCATACTCTTTGATACTAGGATACTTAAATCTGTCCGGCAAGGGGAATGTTAATATCTCGAGAGTAAATGGAGTATTGGGACTGAATCTTGTCGTCCCTTTATTGCCCTGAAGTAGGCTCGCTGCAATTCCTTCTTGAATAATCCTAGCGAGTTCCCCGGACTCCATGGTCACTGATCTCGAGGCCGAGGTCACATGTGGTATACCTGAGGCCCCTGCTCCGCCATTGTCAGGGACATGAGCTCGAGCTCGAGCATCAGCCATAAAACCCCCCTGGGGTGCCGGTGTGGGTGATGGATGCGAATTTCTTTGACTTAGCAGCTGAGTCAGTGTGGCGACCTGTTGTCTGAGCTCTTCAAAGGCTCCAGCAGTGACGACTGCCGGCTGGGGCTCTGGCACTTCTGATGATTCCTCTTGAGGAACAGGGATATCCTCAGGAGGGGGTTGGTTTGGAGCGGATGAGCTTGCTGGTGGAAGACCTGAACATGTGTTTACCATGACTTTTGGTAGCCCTTCCCACAGACGGCGCCAATGATGCTACCAAAAATCGTACCTGTAGATTTTTCGAGCTTGATGACTGATGATGAGCACGAACGTGATCTTCCGATACCTGAAACAAAGGCAACGAGGTGTGTTCTCGTCGCCCCTCCGATGCTTAAGTCAGAAAGGGAAATATATGCGAGAGGCTATATGCTGAAGAACAATGAGAAAACGTAGCTGAATAATGGTTCAAGGTTCTGTATTTATAGTAGTAAGTGACATTCTCCTAATTGGACTCAACTAGTTGGATGTCCTCATCTGTTGGAGTCCTGAATGGTTAAGGAGTTGGTTGAATTCCAGAATTATGCGTGAGATAGGACTCTTGTGGGAGTTAAGATTCCTAATTGCGTAGGAATTCTAAAGTGTGAACAATCGTCAGCAGTAAGGAGGAGCACATTCCCGAGGACTATGCCCGAGGACACATGTTTGCAATATGCGAAGCATCATGGAGATGTGGTCGGGCCTTGTGTCTCGAGGACGAACATGCTCGAGGACACCACAGATGGATTTACAACTTTACCAAAATTAGTCCTCGGGATATACTGATCGGGGATATTGTAAAATGTCACCATCAGTATTAATAATATAATAATCATTTACTTAACTAACTACATTAACAAATTGTCAAGTGGGAGTACACTGAATTTGAGTGTGAGACCCGTGTTCGTGTGCTGAGCCACAAATTTGTTTCCTAAACACTTTTCTCAAACTTCAATTCAACTTTTATTCTGTGGTACCTAAAAACTAAGATATTATTACCACACGTTTTGCAATAATGTGTCCCGAAATATCCTACAAAAGTGGACCCCTTGTCATGCCAGCCTGGAATTTTGTCGTATCTTTCTTATATATTCCCCGCGTTCAATTCATAGGCAGTGACGCCCGGGTTTCCTTTCTTTGCTCTTACCACAAAATTATAAAAGCCTCTGTCATTTGCCCACTCCAAACTTAGCAACACCCTAGTAAGCAAAATAAACATTACATATATAATTCTCTTCACTGCTTCTTGATCATAATTTTCATGGATTCATTAGATTCATGTTCTGATCCAAATCCGTTCGGCGTTTCCGACATGCCTGAGATTACATCGTTGAAGGGACATTCTGACGAAGAGGTTATTTTGGCGTCGAGTCAGCCCAAGAAACGTACGGGGAGGAAGAAGTTCAAGGAAACTCGCCACCCGGTTTATCGAGGCATTAGACAGAGGAATTCAAACAAATGGGTATGCGAGTTACGCGAACCGAGCAATCAGAAAAGGATATGGCTAGGAACTCATCCTACTGCAGAAATGGCAGCACGTGCTCATGATGTTGCTGCATTAGCATTCAAAGGTCAGTTGGCATGCCTGAATTTCGCCGATTCTGTCTGGCGCTTGCCAGTGCCGGTTTCTAAAGAGGCCAAGGATATTCAGAAGGCAGCAATAGAGGCGGCAGAACTGTTCAGGCCGTTCGAGGGGGGTGGTGGTGGTGGGACAATAATGCAAGAAAATGAGATGAATTCTGAGGGGGTTTCAAGTGGCAACTTGACAACATTGGACACAACAAAAACACTATCAGATTGTGATATTTTTAATATGAACGAGGATTCAGAGACAAATATGGAAGGAGTTTTGCTGTCACCACAACCTCGTTTAGACTACAGTTTCGGTTGGGATGATTTGGAAAACAATGATGCTGAGATGGTGCTTTGGAGCTATTCTATTTGATGTCATAGTAGTTTTGGATAGTAAAGTGCGTAAAACACAAAAAATAAAGAAGCAAGATATAGTATATGTGTGTATTCCAGTTTGATTGAATAGAGACTAGGTGAGTCAAATTGATCTGGTATTTGGTTTTGAAGTCCAATAACCCAGACAGCTTACTATAAGAAAAAAAGTAAGAGGAAAAAATATCAAGCAGGTATGAGTGCAAGAACTTTGGATAGAATGCTTTGACTGTATTGATTTTCTTGTATTTTCCTTTGTACAGTTACAATATATATGAAGAATGGAAAAGAATATTGACTAAAAATCACATTTGATAACCACCCATAATCTAAGGACATGTTAAAAAAAAAAAAAAAAAAAAACGTTCTGTGATGGGTAAAGCATTTATAAAAGGCATTGAAATTCATTCGGAAGATCCCTAAGATCATTTTCATGTTCAGTTTGTATACACTATCTAAGCAGTGAGAAAAAGAGTTTAGAAGAGCCTTAACCCGCAGCTAAACACTACATACAAGCTTGAAAGAGTGTGTCAAGAACGGTAATGGCGGGAGGTTCGTTTTCGATCCAATTTACTCTGCATTGATCTAAATGTTATTTTGTTTATTGAAGCATGTTTAGATCGCTTAAGGTGACTTACATTTGGTATCAGAGCCTTCGTTTTGTCTTTGCCTTGTTTGTTCTCAACCTGCACACATTCTGTTGAAAATTTTGGTTTTTGAGTCAGTCATTTTTATAGAAATTGAGATTAGGAATCATTGGAAAATCGATTTCTGAGAATTTTGATATAAAATATGCAAAATTTGGTGGTCGAAATCATGAGATATGATCGGGTTTTTCATTCGGGTCGAAATGGGTCAAAACAACCCGGAAGACAACCTCTAATAAAAAAAAACATATAAAAAATAGTAAACAATCATTTCAAACTTGTTCCCGGACGACATGTCAAATTATGTTGACATGCAGTGGGCCTTCCTTGTCTATTACTAATTAAGGTACAAAAATTGTTTTTGTTTTAACCATTAGTTTTTAGCATGCGGGCCACTTGCATGAAATAAAGGCTGCCATTTATAATATAGAAATGGAATGTTTAATATTATTAATTCGGATTACTTTAATAAAATTTTGGACTTGCACAGCTATTCCGTTTGATGTCATAGTAGTTTTAGATAGTAAAGTGCGTAAAACACAAAAATAAAGAAGCAAGATATAGTATATGTGTGTATTCCAGTTTGATTGAATAGAGAGTAGGTGAGTCAAGTTGATCTGGTATTTGCTTTTGAAGTCCAATCACCCAGACAGCTTACTATAAGACAAAAAGTAAGAGGAAAAAATATCAAGCTGGTAACAGTGCAAGAACTTTGGATAGAATGCTTTGACTGTATTGATTTTCTTGTATTTTCCTTTGTACAGTTACAATATATATGAAGAATGGAAAAGAATATTGGCTTAAAAACCGACTTAAGAGTGATCCACATATCTCACATCCCACTACTTCAGCAACTGACCCAGTGTTTAAAAATCACGTTTGATAACGACCCATATTTTAACGACGTGCAAAAATAAAAAATAAAAAGGGCTCCATGATGGGCAGAGAATTTATAAAAGGCATTCAAATTCATCGGAAGATCCCTAATATCATTTTCATGTTTAGTTTGTATACACTATCTAAACAGTGAGAAAGAGAGCTTAGAAGAACCTTAACACGCAGCTAAACACTATCTACAAACTTGAGTGAGTGCATCAAGAATGACAATGACGAGAGGTTCGTTTTCGATCCATTTTACTCTGCATTGATCTAAATGTTATTTTATTTATTAAAGCATGTTTAGATCGCTTAAGGTGACTTACATTTGGTATCAAAGCCTTCGTTTTGCCTTTGCCTTGTTTGTTCTTAGCCTGCACATTCTGTTGAAAATTTTGGTTTTTGATTTAGTCTTTTATATAGAAACTGAGATTAGGAATCACTAGGAAATTGATTTCTGAGAATTTTGATATAAAATATGCGAAATTTGATGGTCGGAATCAGGAGATATGACCGAATTTTTCATTCTGGTTGAAACCAGGCTGAAACGGGTCACATCGACCTGTTGGAGGTTAAGACAACCTCTAATAAAAAAAGATAAAACATAGTAAACAATCTTTTCAAACCTGTTTGGAAGATACGGCAAATTATGTTGATGTGCAGTGGGCCTTCCTGTCTCTTACTAATTAAGGTACAAAAATGGTTTTTGTTTTAACCATTCAGTTCTGCTTCTTAGCCAGGCTCAGAAATAGGGTAAAAAACAGGGGGTTGAGGTGGCATCACCTCAGCCCCCAGATCCCATACATTTTTTTTTCCAGATCCGACGGTCGAGGTCGAAACACCTCGGCACCCTTTTTTTGGCCTGGACAAGAGGCAATTTCGTTAACCATTAGTTTCTGGCACGCGGTCCCACTTGCATGAAATAAAGGCTGCCATTGATAATATGAAAATAGAATGTTTAATATTATTATTTTGGATTATTTTAATAAAATTTTGGACTTGCACAAGTACCAGCCGAAAATTTTGAAATTGTATCTCAAAGACCCATGTGCTGGAAATTAATGAGAATTATTTGGTGATTTTGTTTTCATATGTACTAAACTTATTTTGCCCCCGTTTGGCCCTCATTCTCATTTTCATTATTTTTCTCTCTTATTTTCAACCACACAATCTTTCATAAAATAATATTAAATGCAAATAAAAAACTTTTCATTTTTTTTCAACCATACATTTTTCAAAAAAATACTTTTTCAACCATTAAAATTTGGTAAGAATGGGGACCAAACGGGTGTTTTATTGTTTTTTATGTATAATTTTTATTGTTTTGTTTAACATGCAATATTGAGTTAAATAATTTAGTGCATTAAAATTTAATTTTTGTGTTCATATTGCCTATGGTTTTGTGCAATTTATATGAGCATATTTTTGTGAATTAAATTAAAAGTTGAGTGATCCATATAATTTAATTAATTGGGGAGTAGTCACAACATTCTTAAT